TCTGGTTTTACGCGTCTCGACATGGTCCGGAACAGTGACATCCGGAAGAGCCTTGGATTACAGCCTTTGGTTCTCCAGATTGAGAAGTCACGGCTGCGATGGCTTGGGCATGTGTTGCGAATGCGTCCAGAAAAGAAGGCTAAGCAACTCTTCGTTGCAAATCCGACAGGCAAAAGGCCCAGGGGACAGCCAAGATTAACCTGGTGCAAACGTGTGGAAGGAGTCTACTCCAAACTCCAGTTGTCTTTTGCCGAAGCTCAGATTCTGGTACAGGATTGGGAACGTTGGAAGCTCTGTCTGACGTGACTGCCTCCGTGACCCGAAAGGAGAAGCGGCGATGGAGGATGAAGATAAAATTGCTCAGTAAATAATACCACGACCTGATAGACGACCAACTGCGCAAAACAATAACAAAGGTACAAGCTAATCCATAACCAAAAGATTTATTTTACTCGTTTTCTACAAACAACACAAACCTGAAAGGAGAAAACTCGCTTTCTGTGACACAGCCAATTCATGCTATTCAAGCAATGAGACCTAAGATGGTCATGGGAAATCTTTATAAAATACCAAAAATGCCACAGCTGCTTTTGAGCATTTCGTCTAATGCTGAAATTTGAGAAACATCCGTCAGATGCTGAGGCTAAATTTAAACAATAAACCATGGTGCCCTCTCATTATCAGTAAATTTCAAACAAATTAATTTAACTAAACGCAAATCTCAATTAAACAAGATTCATAAACTTCATGCATATATTCATAACCTGTAGGACACTAAATCAGACCATAAAAACACTGTGCGATAAGTTAAGTTACGCAAGTCATTGCTGGTCATCGTTTAATTTTCGCTTTGTGTTTCGATTTCATAGGGGCACTTTCAGTGAAGCAGTGATGGTCATGAAAGAGAAACTCATGCACCCTGTCGAACTGTATCCGGTACTTGGACTGTATAAATTCCAGCTCGGATTTTGACCGCTTGATAAAGTACGACCCGTCAAATAGCTCGCAGATGCTGGCGAACGATGGAAGCGGCCACTCGTACTCATTCGGGATGCGACCACACTGACTGCCGCTTTCCAAGAACCAGAACAACGGGAACCAGATCCGGGTCCGCGTGTCAGCGGCCGTTACCGATTTCACGTGGTACGCCATCGAATGATAGTAGAGGAATAAGCGAGAGCTGATGTAAAAGGCGACGAACACGTCTATGCTGTAGTGCTCATGACCAGCCAGGATGAAGAACACAGCGAATAAGTTGATGACCCATGAAGTTGTGTGAAGATAGTTCCATGTATCTGGCGTATCTAAAGAAGACACGTATTAAGACAATGTACGAAATACATTGCTTTGAATATGATAGCTTTATTGCATGCCAACATGCGTACATTCGGTAATGAAATGATTCAGAAGCGTCATGACAGTCGTATGGCCACTGAACATGTAGTCGCCACACGATCTCACACCGAAAAGTGACATTCCCATTCCATACCATATGTGCAAAGCGTTTTTTAACCGTGTGTAGCTATCCTCGCTCTTCTAAAACAGAATATATGAAAAAAGTCAAGTAGTCAACCACGCTTCATAAACATACGAATATATACATAACGTAAAGCATATACAACATATACGCTTCATATATCATGTAAAGTAAAACCTATCTAAATCGACCAGAAACGGAAATGGAGCTTAACAAGAATGATCGTTTCGATAAACCGCTGGTTCAAATGAAATAAAAATGTATATAAAATATCAATTAAAAACTCTGTACAAATCAATTAATGAGAATAACTGTTTACAAAGAAGCAAGGAGGTGTTGATCAGGTACTAATTTTTACAATGTTACAGTGTTGTCTGTAAGTGGAACATAAACGGGTTAATGAAAGCAACAGGGTCAGTGCTAATTTGAATGACAGATCAGAATATATTCAAACGACGCAGTCGTGAATATTATCATTCACTTCGAAGATCTGCTGAAGTTAAATGCTCCCTTGCTTCCTTTGAAGCGTTAAATCACTTTGAAGCGTTAAATTTTCAATTTTCAACCCTTTTGCTATAAAAAATAGACAGGACATACTGGAACCGATAATTATATTGTGATCTACCTTAATGTTGCTCATTCACTGTGCATTTTGGTCTCATAATCCATTATGCTTGATACAATTCTCACATACGAAACTCAGAGACTAGAGCAAAGGGTTAATGCTTGAATAATTTTTGGTCAGGACCAACCTTCTTCTCATAACACTTCGTAGAACACCTTACAAAACTGATTCTTTACAGTAACTGCCTTGTCGTCATCATCTGAAAATAACACAACTTCAAAAGCAGAGTAACCCAGATTTATAATGTCTAAACGTTAGAAACGTTAGATTCTTCAGGCTAACCAGCATTATACGTCCAAACTCCCATTATGCGTCGAAGATGAGTTGCTGTACATTTTACAGCAGTCATTCTTGGTCTTTATTTAGAACAGTGATATCCATGATATATAACAGCACATATGACTGAAAGGCGATCTTTCATTGCAAGCGCAAACACGGCGGAGGCTACAAAAGTACTGATGCTATGGTGACCCATTTGGCTGGCACGGTCGTTAAACACAATGGAATTGGCGTACTTACTACTAAATGATCAACCTCCTCTATCGTTTCATCTCCCTGTTGCACTTACGGAGCGGCTGTGCCAGGTGGGTTCTTTAAAACCGTTGTAACGCAAACATATGAATGTCGACTATGCGCAGGACACTGGTGATGATGGCAGTGCTGATGATGACATCTGAAAAAAGAGGACATGGAGCTTTCCAATTAGTTCTGCTGATCTGAACAGCTGTGTATAGATTGCCTGAATAGTGAATGTGCTACTGTTATCGATGCGATACATTTTATTATCTCTGAGGAAATTCCATACGCAAAAGGGAGAAAAGTTATGTGAAGCAATTCAGTTCGCTATAGGTATGTTCGCATTTCTTGATTTTTATGTACTTTTACTAGTTTAAGAAATAGTGACGATAAATAAAGCAATGAATTGGATTTTGACCTGAGCTTTTACATAAAATTTTACTCTGGATAATTTTCTTACCCGTGCGGTACATTTCAGATGAGCGCCGGGTACCGAAAGAGACGTAATCAGCATGGTGATGCATCGCAGGATGAAAACGGTGCCGGTCAGTGAAAAGAAACGTCGGAGCAGTATCAGCCTGTAAACAATGTTTAGTCGTGTATTTTAAAATAATCTGGCACGAGAAGCCACTCTCAAACGTGCCACACCTGTGTTTGTGAAATACCAAAATTGTGCACCATATCAAGCCAAGCAGACAAGCAAGAAGTTCGCAGAGGTCGAAGGCCCAAGGTATGTGAGGTATGTTGTCGAGCAAAAGGTCGGGCAAAGGCGGGTAGGTTTTTGAATCAGGTACTCTACAAAGCAAAAGAAATCACATTAGAAACCTTAATACTACACGTATAACGACGAAGTTCAAATGATCTGTCGAAAAAGCAGAAGGAACGGGCACTGATGCCAAAGCAGTACGTTAATTTCATTAATCAATCACCAGATAAGCGAATTTATGCGAAATTACTCAAATTTGGTCAAATACCAATAGCGGTTATACAACAGTTTTGAGGTTCACATAATCTGGTTACATTACGATGTTACCACGAAAGGAATGAATCTATTCTCTTTCGGACATACGTGATTTCAGCAGACTGGAAATTAAGAGAAAGAGACTGGCCCTGTCAGACAAAAGTCGAATTCACATCATTTACCACAGTGCGTGACCTACTCGTCTTGGAGCTGAAACGTGGTATATGTCCACCAGGAGACCAGCATAGAACTTGGAGGAACAAAATAGAGGAAGATATACTTTTGGAGAGGAATATCTCCCTTTGCGATGCAACTGCCAGTGCCTGATAGCAAAAGTCTTACATAGCCGCGATACAACGAATATCACAAACTAGAGACGTTTCGGTTACGCAAACGGCTTAAACTGATGATTTCAACAGACATACAAATGCAATTATGTTCAAACTTCCACATCATGTGCGAATGTAACTGCATTATGCAAAATTGTTAGGTAAACGTCGAAAACTGTACATATTTATTAATTCCATTAGCACAGAAAAAAATTATATCTGTATAGCTATAATTCAAAAACTAAAAACATTCGCATACACGCACTTGTCACTGCGCGCCTCTGACGAGGTGCCGCGCATTCACACACAACCTCATTCCAGTATCATGTCCCTCACCTGTCATGAACAATCACCATGACGTAAGAAGTCAAAAATATCGAACACAAGAAATGGAAACCTGCGACGACTGTTTTTAGGATGCAGTTCCAACGTGACTGTGTATCGTCGGCTTCGATGCGCGAGATGATCAGGTTGTGGTGAACTTCCGAGTGGTACATCAAGCTTAAGAAGCATAAAATAGAATGAAAGAGCATAATCATACAAAACAATAACGGAATAGTTAATCGAGGTCTAAGAGAGTCATTTATTCTTCCACTAAACTTCATCAAGTGAATAGACAGGGTATAAATAAATATGGAGAGAAATATCGATTCACTGTTTGTTCGAATAACAATCATACCTCGCCATGTCTTGATTCATGGTTCAAGCAACAGGTTAAGTCGTTAAAGTTAACAAACAAATTCATTATTCAAAAATGTGTTTCGAGAAACACGCGTGAAATAAACATGAATCTACACCATGTCAAGAGAAACAGTCATTTAACATTTTCGAGCGGCAGGATTCGTTATTTCACTAATGTTTTGGAAACCTTTGGTCCATGACAATCCCTTTTTTACTGAAAGATATGGTCGTGTTCTACATAGTGAAACAATAAAATATCACCAAGGATGTGGAGTTGCTCAAACTACAACAAAAAGGTGTTTAGACTATATTGAAATCGTTTTCCATTAGCAAGAGTAACTGTATTCCCATAAAAATCGAACCTAACGATTTTAGCCCGTAACACTTCCCAACGCTTCAGGTACCGAAGGAATTGTATTTCTTTTAATCATCAGAAAAAATTATATATTAAAACTGATCATTTTCAAGAACAAAGTTCTGAAATCGTAAAGAAATATAAATCAAGAAGGTTTATCGTACCTCTCTGAAGAAGTTGACGGAGGCAGAGTTTTCGACGATAGTTCATGACCGGATCCATGCTGGTAGCAAACATGTTGCAGATCGTAGTAGCTGCCGCTGCCATCGTATTTTCCTTTGTCAGGCTTCAAGCGATCAATGGCGAGAATCATTCGCTTTATGTCGCCCAGAAGTGGCAAAGATATTGGAGGATTGCGTAGGTCTTCTTCGGTAAGACTCAGTAAAACTCGGCCATCGACTTTATGGTGGCACGCCAATAAATCACCATATTCCGCAAAGCCGTTTTCTACTAACCACGACTGCACCTCCTCGCAGCACCACTCGGCAACCGGCTTGTTGATTTTGTTCATTGCTACATTTTTCAGATCCCAAGTCAACAGAAGTAACAAAACGGGTTATTAACTAAAATAAATCAAAAGCATATATTAGTTAAAGCTAAATATTAAGCGAATAACTCATATGAGTCATGTCCAATGTATTTCAAACGCGGAACTGGAAACAAAAATATCAAACAAATGTCAAACATTGAAAATTGTCCTCGATTCAAAGTTGCAATGAAAATCACTTTTTTCCTACTGCAGTCATAAGCCCATAGCCACCGTTTCTTAATCAAGCCTGAACCAGAATTTTTCGTTCGCTGTCCATGAGACAGCCGGAGAAATGACCACAAGAAAAACATAGCAGAGTTCAGAAATCAATCAATAAGAGAACCAACGTTCCTGGTCCTGTGCCAGCATTTGAGCATCAGCAGAAGGTAACTCGGGTATGTTGCAGGAGACCATCGAGGCACATGCCCGAGGTCATTCTTAGCCGTAGGTACTAATTCAATCAGTCTGGCAATTCTAATTGTTTTGACTTCTTTTAAGAAGGAAGCATGCGAAAGATGTGCCAAAACTATAGTAGTTGTGACTTTTAATCAGGAGAAACAGTGGCTGTACACCAAGGCACTCTAGGATATCTGTACTCTGGACTATGTCGAAACGCGAGAGCCTAACGATTCGTCTCAGAAATTAAACTTCAGCCGCTTATACCCTGGATCAAAGTTTTCAGTCATGGTCCACAACTCATGACCGTAGGTAAGCAAGGAGATGAAGATCGACTTGCATACTGAGAGCGAAGACTTCAGATTCAGATCTGTTTTAGTCACAGTGGTTCGGGTTAGTTCACGCAGAACGCCACTGGTTACTCCAATCCGCCGCTCGATCTCTTGCTCAAATTTTCGATCACCAATAAGCACGACTCCGAGGTACATGAACTTCTCCGCATGCTCCATTGCATCTCCATTTATATGAAGAGAGCAACAGGCAGAAGAACGAGAAAAAACTAGGCTTTTAGTTTTAGATATGTTCACATGCACTTCACTACGAACCTTTCCAGTGGGTCTTTCAGAAGATACCAGCAAAATAAGTAGTCAGCAAACAGCAACCTTTTCGTATCCACGCCGATACACCGATACACCCGTCGCCTTGGCTGCTCCTGATTATTCTATCCATGTAAAACGCAAACAAGAGAGGAGACAGAACGCAGCCTTCGCGAAGACCATTGCCAACACTGAAAGATCTCGACTTAAAGTCACTTACTCTGACGCGGAACCTGCTATCAACATATTCTGATTGGATGGCCCGTAGCAACTGATCATCGATTATATGTTTGCAGGCACGCCCGTAAATTGTTGCGCAGGATCCGGTTATACGTTCTTTTTCAGGACCGCCAAGACTGCGTTCTGTCTCCTCCCCCTGTTTTGTTGTATATGGAAAGGCTAAGGCTAAGAATGTTTCAATGTAGGAGATGTGGAAACGAGAATGTTGCTGTTTGCAACACGCTTTCCTCAGATTTAGAGGTCACAGCTGCGGTGGTTTGGGTATGTGTTGCGAATGCGGCCAGAAAGAAAGGCGAAACAGTTACTACTTGCCCTGCTGACCGGCCGAAGAATCCGGGGACAGCACAGAATCACTTGGAGCAAGTGTCTCAACACACCCTGATCCAAGACTGTGGGTATCTTATGCCAAAGATCAAACCTTAAAGATACTGTCTAACGCGTCTGCTTCCGCCGCCCGAAACGATAAGCAGTAATCGAAGGTGACCTATTTCCTGTCTGAGATAAAAGTCGTTTCTGTGAAAGAGCATGTTTAAGAAGCTAAACTCCGCATTTATGGTTTGGGCTACAGGTTTGGCTCTAGGTTCACTATTTTACTATAACCAAGAAAATAGCACGAGATATTTTCAAGGAATAATGCAGTTTTCAGTTAAAATTCTGTGTCTTTCTGAAAACGATAAAATCAAAACTATTAAATGTCAAAAAAAACTGTCAAACTGTAAAATCGCCTTTTCACACATTGTTACTGAACCATCGACGGGAGTGCACGAGAAAAAATAATGCATTTTCACAGAATAACATCAAAAAATTGTAATAACGTCAACAAATGTACAGCGAGTTGAAGATATGAAACTTAGCATCGAACAACGATATCCCAAACACCTCAAAATTCGAAAGTTGCTACTATATCTGCCAAAATAATTACCATATTTTAGGAACATGGAATCACTATGTATATACAAGAACAATCCAATCAGAATAACTTAAATTTAGAACAATCTTCCAGTTCAACAACTGTAGGGATTAAAAAACTGAGGGATTTGATTTGGAGGCAACGATCGAAGTGGCAGCATCTCCTACCTTAGGCATTCTTCGAATCCATTATGACTGAATCATAAGACTTTCCTAGATGAACTAGAAAACAAATTATCCGATAGCATGTGATTCATATGAACTTCACGCACATATTGCAATACTGTATTAGCAAATTTACCAGATGAACCTGTATATATAAAAAAATGGAACAACAATGGGCAAATCAATTTTTATCCCCACGCTCTGGAATCTGTTAAAGCAATTTAGTGCAAACGCTACAGTTACGAAACAAGTTTATGCGTTGACTCCACGTAACTCCAACAGCAGAACATTAACAAAGCAACTAGCCGAAAGCCTTCGTTCAGGAAAAGTTCAATAAAGTTGGCTGTAAAGTGAACAAGACGGAAGCAACGGATGGCATAATATAATCTCAAGAAAATATTTCAGAAGTCACCCATTG